TTCCTAAAAAATAATTTATAATAAATATTTTGTTATAGTTTTACTCTCTTGATGGCGCTGGAATGAAACTGTATAGTTTCAAAGAAAAGTCGATTTACGCCAAGGGGCATCCATTTATAATATTTCCGAAGGAAACAACAAAGGCTGTTTCGCTGTGTGAATAGATTTATAGAATAAGGATAGATTTTAAGACATATTCAAAGTTCTAGGCTTAGGTAGTACTTTGCAGAATTGAACCATGTCACAGCTCAAGAAACCCAGTGATCCGAGCGTTTTCGGAAGTTAGGCCTACCTTCTCTAGAGGTGAGTTGGAAGATAAGACATTAATTATTTCAATGACATCATGGTAGCCCCACAGAAGAAGAAGTAAGTCATCACCATCAATGAGGTGTCTATGATAACCTGCCTGACACGAGAACTGAGCGATATTATGGGTATCTATAGTAACCTTACTCGACAACACTGAACCGTTCGTTTTTAGTGACATCATTGGTATCTATGGTAACTTGATAACCTTACTCAACAATACTGAACCGTTCGTTTTAGTGACATCATTGGTATCTATGGTAACCTTACTCGACAATACTGAACCGTTCGTTTTCAGTGACATCATTGGTATCTATGGTAACTTGATAACCTTACTCAACAATACTGAACCGTTCGTTTTAGTGACATCATTGGTATCTATAGTAACCTTACTCGACAATACTGAACCGTTCGTTTTCAGTGACATCATTGGTATCTATGGTAACTTGATAACCTTACTCAACAATACGTAAGAGTATAGCTTTTGTTTCGTGTGTTTGTGTGTGTTTTTTAGCAACATTAAGATGCAATAAGGATTTCTAGTGAAATAATAAATAACGAAATCAGTAAAGGAAGGAAAACAATTAAAGAAAATATTTAAATAAATAAAGGCTTAATAAAGTAACCTGAGAACTAGGTGAAAGGAGAGAGAGAGAATAAATACTAGAAGAAAAAGTTAATTACATATCATAAAGAATTGAACTTAGAAACAAAATCGAAATTATATTAGGAGTAAGTAGGAGGTCACTTGTATACAAGCGAAAACAAATAAACTGCTTTTTTGTGTGTTTTTTTCTTACTGACAGAAAATAAATTGAACTGTAGGGTGTGCACTGAAACACAAGTACGGGGTGCCTCCCCCCACCAAAAAAAGGTAAGTGAACTATGACGGTACTTATAAACTTTTTCTCGGTGACTTACAGGAATCGCCTTATCTTGCTGTCATTTCTAACACATGTTATAATGATGTGTTTATTCTAGTAATCTGAACAGGACGATGTTTCTCCTGCCTTCCTTATTAGCCCATTTTGTACTTTACTTTAAGTGCTTATTTAATGCCACTGTTTTGGACTTGAAATAAAACTATCTATATATATATATATACATATTTAAATTTCCTCGTTGTTATCGAGCATTAAACCGTGTGGATGTAAATATAGGCTTGTACATTAGTATTTACATTCGAAAAGCTTTTTTTTCTTCTTCAAAACTCTAAAGAGAAGTGAATTTTACGTCTATGTTCTTTAATCAAACCTACTTCTTTTGTGAAACTCACTTCCCCTACCGTCCTAATGGTTGTTTTATTTTAACTGTCATTGTGGAATGAGCTGTTGAAATTTTATCCACTTTTCTAGTTTCTCAGTTAACATTCTGAGTGACTTCCTAGCTTTATGCCCGATTGCTTCAGTCAGTTTAACGAAAATAAGTAAACACGGAATATAGAGTTTGATTACTTTAGATTCAAACAATGTTCGAACCTCACCACGTCTGGTCATGTTCTGTCTTATGACCGTGCATCTTGACAATAACACTGCAACGTTAATTTCATTGCAAAAGGCTCCGTCGTAAGGCTGTCATGTACAAAGCACACGCCTTCTCCCTGCTTGTATTCTATAATCAATCTATGCACAAGGATGACGGTTCCCAGTGTTATTTTATTAGCTCGATCACACAGAAATTCTTAAGAGCTGAGTCCGGCGACTTGGTTGGTATGCCTTCCTATAGAGTAGTATAAATATCTGTTTCATTCAGCAGCACCTTGAAGTATGCGACGGTTGAACAGATATAGGGAGATATACCTTGATTATATTGTATAGTGTTCCCTGGGGCACATGGATGGCTTTTACCACTAACCTTTGTGTTCATGGAATCTCACCTATTACAAAACATAACATTTTGCTTACCATAGCTAGGGTACGACTTGTTACAGGTCTCTTTCTTGATGGTCCTGGGTCACAAGTTGATCCATATTCCTTTATTTTCTAATGTCCTTAAGTACAAGGGATAACCACGTCTTGGAAATTCTAAATTTCGATCTGAACAAATCTTTATGATCAAAGTGTATGAATATATTGCTTCAGAAAGGGCTGTTACATACTCTTCTCAAAGTGATCAGTTATAGTGGCATCATAATACCTGGACAGTGACAAAAAAACGTCAAATGTAGTTATCATACATTGTGTCCCACCACGACTTCATATTGGCTGTGATTGTCACATGATTTACTGATTTGCATATTCAAAATTATTCGAATAAAACGTACTCAGCCCTCTGTATTAATGACTAGGAATTTAAATTATTTGGAAGGGGCGATAGGGGTCATCGGTTTCATCAGTTACTCACCTTTTCTTTTACATCCCCTTTTTACTTAGAGTAGACCGTGGAAATCCGTCTTTGGCAAGGCCTTTAACCAATGATGAGGAGTTTCACCAGTTTACGATATAATTGAAAATATTTTGACGGAAATTGTGATGTTTGAAAAAAACGAAAAGAAGTGCAATAGAATACTTTTTTGTAGCTGTTACGACAGAGATGGAGGTTGTTTAGAATGTTTATCAAAGATTTTAAAATAATTCCATACAGAATTGGTCTGATCTTATGCACTGAGACCTTATGTGGTAAATATAAGGATTACCGCGCTTAACGCTTAACAATATGATTTAACGATTGAAAAATATCAATATTTTTACTAACAACTTATAAATGTTACGAGATAGTCGTGTTAATTTTAACATCTAAAGGAAAAAGTGCATGAAAGAAAGTAATGTGACGGTCAATCCCACTATTAATTGGTAAAAGAAGTAGCCAATGAGTTGATGGTGGGTGTTGCCGGCCGATTACCTCCCCTTAGGAGTTCGAAATTAGGGACGATGGTAGATAGTCTAAATAACCTTGCCAGAAACGAAACAAACAAATAAAGGAATGAAACAGTATCTCCTTACATTCGGTGATATTTTAAAACAGTGCAAAACAAAAAACACCACACGTGTAGTAAATGAGAGATCCCGGGGATGGTTATTTATTCATTTATTTAGAATTTTGGGGCAAATCTATATACACAAGGACCTTCTGCACCCATCTGTCGATAATTTTGTATACACAAGGACCTTCTGCACCCATCTGTCGATAATTTTGTATACACAAGGACCATCTGCACACATCTGTCGATAATTTTGTATACACAAGGACCATCTGCACACATCTGTCGATAATGTT